CAAAAGCCATAGCATCTGATTCACATCATTTTCATACTCATCAAACCACTCAGTGACTCCTCATGCACTATGGATGAGGACATTAAGGGGACAAGTGGACCCAAACCATGCCAACAAAAGCCACCTCAGCCACTCACTGGGATCAAGGGTTCAGGTTTTTCCTTTAATTTGTCACTTATCTCTTGTTGCTAACTTCACCTGTCTGCTGTTTTGTGCTCAGGAGACATTATAAAGTCATTTTTTTCCCCCGAAATTTTATCTGGAAAGAGCACTCTGAGAGCAATGAGAGTGAACCGAACATCACAAGATATAGAACCAGAAGCGTTGGCTTGTTGCAAGGACGGGTGTATTTAGTCTTACGGGGCATGTGGAGGACAAACATCCGCCGGCCAAAAAAAAACATCGTCCTTGAAAATCGGAAGCTGCTTATTTGCAATTTTTAAATAAACAGCACATCTCCAAAAGGAAGAAAAAAGAAACACAAATAGCAAGAGAAAGCAAAACTCACAAGAAAACTTTCCCAAATTGCCTCCAGGTGAGCATTGTGCTGCCTCTGAACCAACCAGTCCCCCACTCATCTCCCAGTACACTCATACATGGGGAGGGGGCTTGCCTTCCCAGTTTAAAACTGACCAATCAGGACACATCTATAATCCAATCATATTTGAGATCCCACCTACTCACTGAACCAATGAAAGAGCTGCTGTAGAGGCGTGCCCCTTTTGTTACCTCCAGGAAAAGATGGCCTCGACAAGGAAGGAACTCAGGTGATCACTTCTGTAAATCTAATGTTGTGTTTTTTGGTCTTTAATCAGACAAGTAAAGAAATACAATTTTCTCTGTAGACACGAGAGTAAACAGAAAAACTCGACAGCCCCTCTACACGAAAGGTCTGCATGTGTTCAGGTCGGGAGCTCGTGCTTCCTGATGTAGCTAAAGGTTGCTGAAATGCAGTTATGAGCTAAAGACAACGTCAGGTGATCATCTCCTGTGGAACAGCTTTCACAATATAGTCATTTATTGATTATGCATAGTCAAAAACTGAACAAGTCTGCTAACTAAACAAGCATATCATAATGGTTATCACTTAGTGCTCATATTGATCAGGTAACCAATGATAAACTACTTTTGATCCAGTATTTTTGAAACCGTCCATCCGATTGTCAATGCAGTGGGTTCTGCAGTAGATGTACTGTTCCTTAAGAAGAGTTTCAAACCAAATGTTCAGTTTGTGTGAGGACTCTTTATGAATTCCAAAAAAGTAGTTTAAAAGACTCATTTTGCCAAAGTTTTCGAATTGACTTAGAGAAGCTGGAGGTCAGTGATAACATTGATAACGTTATACTATTTTTAAAGTTCGCCTCTCCTCCTTTCCTTTCCTACCTCGGCTGAAAGCACGACTGTCAGGACTTCCTTCCATCAGGCGAAACATTGATTTCGGCTCAGCGGGGATCATGCAAAACAGCCTCTCATTAAAATCATAATTAGAACTTGGAAATGGCACATGGGGTTCAACTCTGGGGCGAACAGAAAATCACTGGAAACTATTAAACTTGCACTTAGCCTTTTGCTCTGAAACCAAACGTGTCTGATGTCTGGTTGTGGCCTGTCATACAAAGTGGGGTGAAAATGTCACGTCGTATTTGTTTGTTTGGAGAGTTCTGACTTACAGAAAACACTTGAGCTGCTCCTGTTATAAAGGAGTTTATTCATATGATAAAACTTGCACCTCTGTGTGATGTTGAAGTTAGTTTAATTGTCAGAGGTGTAAAAAAAACAAAACAAAACCCAGAAATCAGTCGATATCCTTCATGACTTAGTTTTCAATGTCAAGGACGTCCGTTCTCTTCCAGCTGAAGGTCACTGCTGAACATCTGCATCATCTGTTCTTGAGCAAATATTCGACTGTAACGTCGCTTTGGCTCTGACAACCCTCATAAACTCCCCCATCAGTTGTGACAGTCCACTCCAAACACGCATTAACACACACTCGCATGCATGCGAACACACAAACACACACACTCTGCCCTCTCCCTGTCCCCAGCCCCGGTTGCCTAGGAGACAGCTGAGACGGGGACCCCATCTCATTACACGCCAATAGGGCTGCGCGACTGGCTGCAGGAGGATGTGTGGGATCTTTATCGCCATCTAGCAGCCAAAACGGAGAAAGGCATCTCAGGTTTTTTTTTCCTTTTTTGTGTGTGTGTAAGCCAACATTCTGCCTAGTAACCCAATATGCTGACTTCTGCCGGTGCCGACGGCTCTGAATTTCTAATGAGACGCGTCGTACTGTGAAGCTTTACAGGGGACAAAGGGGAAAAGTTTAATGTGGACCATTAGTTAAACAGAAGCTTTCTAGATAATCAGTGAATGAATACAAGATGTAGGCAAAAATGCATCTCAGTGGGGCAAAGCTTAAGCTGATGCTGCATTATACAGGAAGAAATTCTCAGAGGTGGACAGTAACTGAGGGCAAGTCTTGTACTCTAGTACACTTTTGAGGTACTTTAATATTTCATGCTACCTATTGTGCTTTTTTACTCCATCACATAAAATGGTTAGTTTTAGATGTTCCATGTAAAATATTAAATTACACATATTTAGCAACGTTATCAAACAAAACTACCAAGTTATATGTAAAAGCTCCAACATTAAAGTCATGCTTTTATGCAATTGCAACAATTTTATTATCCAATAATCGGAAATTACATAAAAATGAGAAGCACTTTTTCATTTGATGCTTTAGGTACGTCTCCACTTCAGTAATATTCTGAATGCTGGAGTTTTACTTGAACTATTTTTCAGCTTTGTTTTTGCATTTTTTGTTTTTACATACCAAACCTCTTCTTTCTCTGCTCCTGCACTTATTATATTTCTGCAATTTACAGCAAAACAAATCTGAATCGGTTCAACAGGACAAACTTTTAGGTTTTCATTAATTGAGGTGATGGGTTATTGCTCATCGTTTTTGAGGGTCCTTGAAGAAGGAAATGAAATAATTGGAAGCCCTGCACTGGAAATCAGGCAAATGAGAATACTAATGATGAGAGGGACAATGAATGTGGTGAGTTTTGGTGCAAGAAGTAGCAGAAAGTATAAGGTTTTTGATGTAAGAATATTCCATAACTAGTAAAAGCCCCAAAGCCCTGTAGGTTTATTATAATGCACACAATTTAATAAATATTCTGAGTCTGAGCAGCATTTCAATATATCTGGTGAAAGTGGAGCTAATTATGCCAACTTTATATGCTGTTAAGTTATTTTATCTATTTTATCCGTCATGATTCATCATATTGCGATGAAGACGGTGTGTGTTTTGTGTTTAAACTCTTAATTTGAAAAGTAACTGGTTACTATGTGTAGTATTGATCTTATTTCTCTATTAGAAACCGCTTTGGTTGTTTTAAACACACAACATAAAAATGATGGCTTGACTACAGCTGTTAGATAAATGAAAGGGAGGGAAAACCTCATTATTAATGTATGGAAAGCAGTGAAGTAAAAGTATAACGTGGCCCAAAATAGAAATACTCAAGCAAAGTATAGCAACCTTAAAACTGCACTTACTGTAATTGATTAAATATACTCTCTATATGTTCTGCTGTTTTTGTTACAGTATTGTAGGAGAGCAGCTACAGTACCACATGCACTATAACGTTTTTAACGATTCATCTTTTGTCAAGGACCAAATAATGACGCGTCAAATCAGCTTTTTAGATTTTACAAGTCTGATTTAACTTTCAGTCTCACTCGGCTCATTTAGCCTCTACAGCGTTTCCATTTATGACGCCCCTCCTCAGAACAACACACAACCCCGAGACATGTGCCCTGGAATATACTGTAGTTTATTAACTCTAATAGATGTGTTATAATAAATATTAAAAACATCAAGTAAAAATGGCAACAGATATATACACAGCAGCAGAAGCAGGAGTTTGGGCTGAACTGAGCGGGACACTGTTGTGCTTTTAGTTTCTACTTGGCTGGGGACAAAAGATACGTACAACCCTCGTGCTACACACACCTCATGTGAAACGAAGCCACAAACACGCCCGAGTGTTCACCTGTCTCTATATTAAAGGTTTCGGATGCTCTACCATAATGTGTTGAGTGCCAGGATATTATTAACAAACATCACACTTTGTGCCTCCTGAATATAAGAAAATGTTCACTTTCAGGGCAGGGAACCAGCTGTGATGTCCACAAATTTTGTCAGCCAAAGGGGTTTCCAGATGTTTTTTTGTTTTTTTTTCTAGCACCAAATGAGGGTTTGTTGCCAAATAAAGTTTCTTACAGAGCAGACAAAAAAATACCAGCAGCTGTGGGCTGGATAAGTACAATAAAACTAAAAACAATCTTTGCATCTAAAGATATTCAAGGTTATATATCTGTGTAGATTCTCAGTCATCCAGGTCACGTCTATCCTAGTAAAAAAAGCAACTGGACTTCTCTTTGAGGTTCTTGAAACATAAAAGAGAAGTCCGGCTGCTTAGAAATTCAAGGTTACTACCGTTTCAGTCCATGCTTCATTATCATCTAGTAGTGCGCAGGTGAAAACAAAGTATCTATGCACTGTACCTATTTTAAACTCGAAGAATCCATATGCTTAACTGTGCACACACAACCACCTCGTCGTCTGTTTGCCCAACAAGACGAATGACCTTTATCTGTCCGACATTCTGCGTTGGTCCACAGGATATACGGCTGCTGACCCCACCAAAAAGCATAGTATTGTCATTTAAATGTAGATATAGGCAAGGGTGATGGCTAACACAACAAAAGAGATAGCACACATACAGTACACTTGTAACGAAGATAAACATACAAATAAAAGACAGAATATCAAGAAATAAACTCTTTCGTATGGCAACGTAAGATATGGCATATACTGCAGAACTGAGCCTAGTGGAACTACTCATTTGCTTTGAAAGGAAAGGTCTGCTAACAGTAACTGTGATGTGGTGGTGATATACTGAAGGTCTTTGTAAACATTCTCTGTTCTAGGCCTCTGATTCGGATTGGTCGGTGGCGACGCTGCCGTTCAGCTCGCCCAGTCCTGATTGCTCCTGGATGTCGGTCATCTCCCCGACGATGAAGGTCGGCTCCCCTGCTTTGCTGTTGGCCGAGCCGCTGTCCGGCTGCTTGGCCGCCTGGTTGGCCAACGTGGGCTCCTCGTCCAGTCGGCTGGAGATGGACCAGTAGAGGTGAGCGTCGAGCCTCGCTGCAGCCAATGAGAGCTCTCGAGCTGAGCAGGAGGGCGTGTCCACCTGAGGGGAGTGGAACCATGACAGCTCATTAAATCACCAAATTATACACCTCATGAAAACATTACCTTTGCCAAAATTTCAAGAAAGAGCCCCATTGTCACTTATTTTGGCTCAAGAAATGGCATCTGCTGGCTGGTCCACCATTTTGGTTGCTGAATGGATCATTTTAACATTTGTTAAGTTTGGTTAAGTATCTTGACAACTCGGGCTGCAAGGTGGTGCAGGTGGTTAGCACCGTTGCCAGTTGCGAGGTCGCCAGTTCGCGTCCCGTTAGGACACCTGGGATCTTTCTGTGTGGAGTCTCCATGTTCTCCCCATGCAGCGGGGATTCTCTCCGGCTTCCTCCCACAAAGTCCAAAAAAAAGGTGAAGGTAAATGGTGATTCTAAATTGTCTGTAGGTGTGAATGTGAGTGTGCTTGGTTGTCTGTCTCTAAGTGTAGCCCTGTGATAGACTGGTGACCTGTCCAGGGTGTCTCCTGCCTTCACCCTGAGTCAGCTGGGATAGACTCCAGCCCCCCACAACCCTAGTGAGGATTAAGCGGTGTATAGATGATGGATGGATGGATCTTGACAACTATTGATTGGATTATCATATTTGGTATCCACATCCATGTATCACTTAGAATGAATTCTGATACCCTTTATTTAAACTTTTCATATAAAGCCATCATCAGGTTCACATCCATTGCTCAGTACTGCAGTTAAAATATTTGAAAAACGAGTGTCATTCCCATCAGCCTCGGCTGTACTTTGTCTTGTTTCAATCAGTAGCTGTTAGTATGCTAACATGCTAAGTTAACATGCTAACCCAGCATGTCAGTATGGACGGCATGTTAGCACGATGGCCTTAGAGCTTAGCATAGCTGCTCGCTCTGCTGCATGCGCTGCAGACGGTACTATGAATTACCTCAAGTATCTGTTTATGCATTAAGTCAAACAAACATATCAAAAACATAAACCAATACTGACACAGTGATAGGCCAGTGCTGACCGATATATAGGCTCGCAGCACCACTGTGCCTAAGCAGAGCCTCAGAGAGGTGCCAGCTTAACTGTTAGTTCTTAATCCTGTTTAGTTAAATGTTAAAATGTACTTACTTATTGTTATCTGTCACATTACTTCTACAATTATGGCTGCATCTATGGGAAATTCTTCTCAATATGTGGAAATCACACATAGCACTCAAAATGTAGCATGACTCTTATCATTTTAAACTCATCATGAAACTGTTTGTAACTGTTTGGCATAAATGCCCGCTGCATTATATTGTGTGCTCCGTTTAGTTCTGGACATGCTCACCTGCTGACCATAAAGACCAATCCAGGGGATCAGCATCGCAAACTAGCTTCGGCTATAAACGCTCCGGTATGTGGCACCGGTCCAAGCAATGTACAGCACTCGCCCTCACAAAAATAACCATGAGATAAATATTTAGCTACAGCTCCTACATATCCCAGCATGCCTTTCAACAACCCCAAGAGAATGTGAGAATTCAGCTTTCGGTTACACATGTAGGTGGAGACAGGAATAGGGATAACAGAGAAAGAGTTGTTCCAGCTTTTTCTTCCTCCAAAAAAATCTTGTAGCTACAGAGCATTTTTTGAAAGAACAGATATGCTCGACTCTTTTGATAAAAAGCCAGAAAAATGATCTCGTTTTTTTGATTTCAAGAGCAATAAAACCTGACATTTGAGTTGATGTTTACATTTTTTTAAGTAATTATTTTGCCACTGGATTCTATTCTGGTTACACTGCTGTTATTTAAACACAATGCAGTCCTTGTTTTCCTGCTTATTAATTCAGCAAACTGTGCCAACAAAATACATATTACCTGCAGGTGTTACCTTATATTAACAAGAGTTAGATTTTCTGGCAAATTAGTTCATAATAACGTACATTTTTAATACACGCCCTCAGGCCTGGTGTTCACATGTAGAAGATTAAGGAGGAACAAATAACCAGTCAGAAACTATTTGCGTTGTTATCATACATTAAACATCGTCTTTATCGGCCTTTTTCCCCATCACGCCAGCTTCCAGAGACGTTACCTCAAACGTGTGGTGAAAGGCTCCGTAGTCGACGTCAAAGAAGCCCTCCGCCAGCGACATCATGGGGCTGAACCTGTGACCCCACAGCACCTCCTCGGCCAGGTATGAGCTCCTCGCCTGGCACGTCATCCCTGCGGACACAAACAAGCTGACGACCGCGAAACGCTCACAGCAAACCCTCACAACGTTCACCCGGGCCCGTGTGATAAACGAGCAGGATTCTCTGAGCTTCGGAAGAGTCAGAGCACCTATAACTCTGACGCAGATGTATTTAATTCACCCATTTAGCGGCAAACGGTTTAATAGGCAAGCTGTCGTCGTGTGAGTATTTTCGGCAGCTGAATTATGACCGTGTTTGTAACGCAGCACTCTGACTAAAGGGGATCGATATTTGGAGTAGGCAGAGAGGCCACCTTTACCTCATCATGAATAGCTCCGGTGCACTTAATTCCTCCCGAACGGTGAGGAAAACAGTTGGGTATGTGATTGTCTCAGGATGAATTTTTGACACATGAGAAGGGGATGAAGAAGAAGAAGAAGGAGAGATAAACAGAGCTCATCCAAATCCGTCCAGAGTTGCTTCTTCCTACCAGACTCTGTTTAAATCTGCTCGGTTTTTGTAGCTGTCAGACAGTCAGAGAGGTGCAAGTCAATGCAGCAGCGACATAAAATGCAACCATAAATACAACACGGGCGTTAAACTCTGCTTCTAAATATACAGAGTCTGAGGAGATCGCAGACGCGCTGCCCAGCTGGAGTCAATGATTTTCCTCCTCAGCCAGACTTCTTAAAGGTTCGACAATTTGTCTCGTTTTGTGTCTCGTTTGTGTCTCATTTTCTGTTGCGTCGTGCTTGTGTTGTTTGAATTTTTACCATTTTGTGTCTCTTTGTGACAGTTTTGCCTTCTTTCTGTTGTTTTGTGTTTGTGTGTTCTGTCTTTTTTTGTGTGTCATTTTTTTTTGTCACTTCTTTGTTTACATTTTTTTTTTTTTTACCATTTTGTGTGTCTGTCACTTTTTTTCTCTTGTTTGAGTTTCTGGTTTCTATCATATTATGTCTTGCTTGTGTCGTTGTGTGTCTCAATTTATGTCGTTTTGTTTCTTGTTTTCTGTTATATCTAGCACGAGTAGTTTTGGTTCATTTAACTGCAATTTTGTTCCTCATTTGTGTTGTTTTTGTCTCATTTTTCTTTCATTGTGTTTCTTGTGTCCTTTTTGGGTTATTTTGTGTCACGTAATATTTTCATTTTGTTTTTTGTTTTTTTTTTTCTTTTATGTCTTGTATTTTGATTGTGCAGTTTTGTCTCCTTTCTGTCATCTTGTGTGTCGTTTTATGTGATTTTGTGTCTCATTTTTTTGTTGTACTTTGCCTGTTGTTTACATTTTTTTTCTTTCTTTTCATTTTTGTGTCATGTTTTCTCATTTTGTGTCAATTTTCATTTTGTTTGTTTTCTGTTGTATCTTGATTGAGTAGTTTTGTCTCAGTTTTTGCCGTTTTGTGTCTAATTTGTGTTGTTTTTTGTCTCATTTTCCTTTTGTGTCTCCTTTATGATGTTTTGTTTGTGTTTTGTTTATGACAGTTTTGTGTCCTTTCTATCATTTTGTTTGTCGTTTTGTCCTTTTATGTCTTATTTTCTGTTCTATCTTGTTTGCTTAGTTTTGTCTCCTTTCTGGCGTTTTGTGTATCGTTTGTGTTTGTGTTGCGTTTTATGTGGCTTTGTGTCTTGTTTTCTGTTGTTTAAATTTGTTCAAAGCAACTCTTGAGAGAGGAGAAGCTTCAGAAATGGTGTTTAAGTTTCCCATTGTTTCCCATTTTATGCTTTTAAATGCTGATTTGTCAATACTGCATGAGCAGAAAGGAGTCTTTGCTCTGCTCATGGGTAGATCAGTCTTCAGTTGTACTCCAATTTATAAAACAAATTCAGTCATATTTCAAAATGTATATACATTTCCCCCCCATAAGCACAAAACAGCATCAGAAAAACCTGAGAAAAGACAGACAGCTCTGAGACAAACTAAACTCCGACATCCTGGAAGAGGAATCTCATCTTCTAATGGACAGCTGAGGAAGGTTTGCTTCTGTAAAACAGCGATGGTATTGGTGTATTATCAGACCGCTGTGTGCATCTGCAAGAGTAATTTGCTAATGCTCATTTCTAGTTGTCGCAGCCAAACATACATTTACAATATAGAGGCCACCAGAACTTTACAGTCCAATTAAATTGCAAAGTATTATTCCCTATATGATGTAAGGCTGTTAAGTTGCTGCTTTTTAAAACATGTTTATCATTTTGAATCACTAAAACGCCTCCAATAAGTCACATAAAAAACCTTGAGTAGAAAAAATATTGCTAATGGTGTGATTTGTTTAGCCTGCACCTTCATACATTTTAAAATGTTAATTATCATCACATGAATAAACATTCATTTTTCTCACTATTTCCCAACGAGTAATGTAGTAATGTATTCATTCAGTGCACGGTGGTTCGTAGCAGCACACGCTCACCCACATCGTCATTTCATATGCGTACACGAAACTGTATTTGTGCATTTTGTGAATATGAACATGTTGTGCACAAAGCTCCCAGACTATAGGTTTTTTGTTATCTCACTTTTCAAACAATATTAGTCACGAAAGAGCCACTGGGGAAATCGATTTATCTGTTTTAACCCAGTTCTCACCGGTCGCCTCCACCATTCCCTCCAGGATGACCACGATCTCAAAGTCCTCCTTCTCCAGCTGGGCCTGCGACATGTCCCAGAAGGCAGAGCGAGCGTCGATCTCGTGGGAGATCACCAATGGTGAGACCAGGAAGAGACGATCGTCGCCCGTCTCGAAGCCCACGCTGATGTCTGTCTGGTCCAGGGGGATGAACTCACCTGGAGGAGGCAAAAAAAAAAGAGCAAAAACTGAAGGTGAGGAGAGAGACTGTAGCTGCAAGCACAAGTTTTAAAGGACAATCCTGCAGATAATGGTAATCTACAATCACTTAATCTGCCTGAAAAGAATGTAAACTTATTGATTTTGTAATGTACTCAAGAAGGATTAGGATTAGGTTTGCACCCTTGGAGGATTCAGTATGGATAGCTGTTGTAGCATCAGCAGCCACAAGTTGTAGAAATCATCACATTGTTGTTGGTAGCGAGTTAAAAAGGCGTCTCACCCTCCTGGGTCTGCTTAGACTTGATGAGCTTGGCCCTCATGTTGGCTCCTACGATGTGGGAACTCCGAAGGTCGCCCACCCTGAACATCAGACAGAGCTTGTCGTCTCTCAGGGAGATGACGGCGTGTTTGGAGAACACCAGCGTCTCGGCTCGCTTGTTGGGCTGCGAGATCTTTACAAACATGCAGCCGACCTGGACAGAGAAGACGATGAACTCAAACTCAGAAAGGCTGGAGAAGCAGAGGATTATTAAGAAACAGCAAAATTCAAACAGCGTAGTGATGCTGAAGTCGACTGCACAGCTGGAACACATTCATTCCAGCTGCTGAATAACTTGTTCGTTTCTCAATCGAGCTCGCTGTTTACAGGCTTTAAAACAGTAGTGACACTTGAGTTAACCTCAAGCACAACCATTTTTAATATGCATAGTAAAACCAGCCCACATGTCCATCAGTTGCTAATGTGGCAGGTTTCCAGCTTGCAAACATGCATAAACATGATTCAGGCTGGACGTCGGTGTGTGATTTCATCCTCATCAGAGGAGTGCTTACATTGTGCAATAAACTCAGCCTCATCAGCACTTTCAAAGTAAATATTCTTTCTCAGGAAGAATACCATCTGCACAAAAACTCAGTCATTTCATCAGTATGGCGTTCATGCACTCACCCTCCTCGCTAGGCTCAAAAAAAAAACTGTAATATTTTTTATTTAATCCAGCTGAACTGACTGGAGGCCTCCTTTTAATCACGCAGACTTAGGTCGAACAGTAATTACATGCACTTTTCTATTTGCCAAAAGGAATTAAATGAGTCTGAACACTGACTCAGACACCGAAAGCGTATTTTTCAGGGGTTTTTTTTTGCCTTGACCTGACCTCCTGATGCGCTCGAGCAGGTTTGAAAATCTTTGTCCAAACGTATTAGACCCAGATCTGCAAACACAACTAATATACAATAAGTGTTATATAAATGATCACGAAGGTCAGCTATAATTCAGTGTAAGGATGGCAAATGTCCAGGTTTTATATTACTGATATAAGATTCTTCTATATAAACACTACAGAGAATGCAGACTTGGGTATTACATAAATTTTAGCTATAAATAAGATAAATGTGGAAATAAGTCTACCGATCATCATATTTGCAATCATAGGTTTCATTTTGCAGAATAGCACAGCATTTGCTTTCCTCTGTGTGTAGACTTCTCAAACATTCTACTCATCAGATTTATCACAGAAGTGTACTTCTCTCAATTTTCTCACCATGAAGGCATTGACCATTGATCCCAGTATAGCTTGCAGCAGCAGCAGCATGGTGCCCACCGGACACTGGTCGGTGATGACACGGTGGCCGTAGCCTATCGTGGTCTCCGTCTCGATGGAGAAGAGGAAGGCCGAGATGAAACCGTTGACATTGTTGACGCACGGCGTCCACGTCTCATCCTCCAGATGGTCCAGATCACCCCTTGAGAAGCAAAAGAAGCAGGGAGAACGTGTGAGAGATGGAAGTGGGGGAGGTGACAGAGCGGGTGTCAGGAGGGAAAAATAGACAGGAGAGCGAGAAGATTTATATTTTTAGACCCGAGGTGCGGAGATATATAGATGACGACTCCATATAAATTTGCCACCATCTTTCAGCTAATTCCTGTGATGAATCGATGCGATCCTGGTCATCAGCTTTAACCGAGGCGATTAACGTAACATTTATGCTGTCGGTTTTTCCCCATGCAGCAGAATCCCACCTTTTCCCATCATATATCATCATCCCACAACATCCCCGCTACTGTCTCCTGGATTTTTTTTTTTTCCAGTCCAGCACCAGAGTCTGCAGAATTTCCTTTCTAACACACACTACACAGGCTAATGCCCCTGATTAACACAGCTCCAGCCAGAGAGGGAGAGCTAATTAATGAAAGTGGTGTTAAGTAATTTATATAATCTATGAGTTTTATTGACCTGTGTTGGTGACCAAGGAATTGATGCAACACCGACAGCTCTCTGGCACACCTTAGGATGGCCCGTAATTGATATAAAAAGGTCGCAATTTTACGAGACGAATACGTTAGCTAATTAGAGCGGCGATCCAGCAGACACATCTAGTGAGGAGGTACCACATCATGATGAAATACACTGTAATATTAATACTGCTTTGTCATCTGCTTTTTTTTTTTGGCTGAAAAATGGGGCTTTTTTAGCCTCCGTTGCAAAAGTGTCTAAAAGGTGGCGCTGCCTCAGGATGATTCCATTAAAGGAATAGTTTGACATCTCGGGACATGTGCTTATTTGCTTTAGCTGGATGAGATGATCGATACCACTCTCATATCTGCTAAATATGATGCTTTAGTTAGCAGACAGCTAGCTTAGCTTCGCACAAAGAAAAGAAGGGAAAAGGTGAAACAAAATCTACCGATCAGCACCTCTACATTTGACAAATTTTATTTTGTATGTTCCACTTTGGTTTTCGTAGGGGTTGGATAAAGCTGGAACAACCCCTTTCCTGGTTGTAGCGTAATGCTACAGACATAAAAGTGGTTTCTTTTCATCTGACTCAAATAAGAGTGTTTCCCTAAAGATCAAACCATTGCTTTAAGTTGTAAGGATGAAGAGGAGGAAAGAACAAAGCACACAGCGGAGGAAAGCCCCGTTTTGATCATACAAACGCTGCCTGAAGGTGATGTCTAAAATTCTGTGAAATACAGTTTCTCATTGGGAGGGAATCACTGAGAGCTAAAGGGTCACTCTGACTTCATCAATGGCCTCATACATGAATATCCAAAAACCACCAACAGGCCACTTAGACGTAAACACCAGTCAGGGCCGTGGAGATGTGTGAAGCCTCTGTTGTATTAAGAATAACATTGGTTGGGTACGTGATAAGGGCTGCAAGGTGGAGCTGTGGTTAGCACCGTTGTCTCACAGCAAGAAGGTTGCCGGTTTGGGTCCCGATGAGGACGCTGGGATCTTTCTTCGTGGAGTTTGCATGTTCTCCCTGTGCAGTGTGGGTTCTCTCCGGGTTCTCCGGCTTCCTCCCAAAACATGTTGAGGTTAATTGGTGATTCTAAATTGTCCGTAGGTGTGAATGTGAGTGTGCTTGGTTGTCTGTCTCTAAGTGTAGCCCTGTGATAGACTGGTTACCTGTCCAGGTGAACCTGCCTTCACCCTGAGTCAGCTGGGATAGACTCCAGCCCCCCGTGACCCTAGTGAGGATTAAGCGGTGTATAGATAACGGATGGATGGATGGATGGATGGATGGGTACGTGATGAGCTCTAGTAACATACACCCTGTTGAAGACAGGAGATTCAGAATATCAGGACGTCTCTAATTCTCCTCAATCTGTAAACATTTCTGCTTTTTCATACATTCCTTGCATCTCCAGACACTTCTTGGCACAAGTCAGTTTCATCTACCTGCTTCCAAATGCCCACAAGGAGTTTTAGCATAAGAAATGTTCAGTGACAATGCCGGCCTGCACACTCCTCATCACTGTGCTCACGAGTCTTACCTACAGTAGGCTATGAGGTACCAGATGGCCCCAAAGAAGAGCCATGTGACGGCGTAGGCCATGACAAAGACAAAGAGCGAGCAGCGCCAGTTGAGGTCCACCAGTGTGGTGAAGATGTCGGTCAGGTAGCGGTACGTCTCGCGCATGTTGCCGTGCTGCACGTTGCAGCGGCCGTTTTTCTCCACGTAGCGTTGCCTCTTGCGCCGAGCCCGGGCTGGGACAGGACAGAAAAGACACAATCTGATTACAGAAGAAATACAACGAAACTGGAGATCCTGTTGTTGTGGAAAAGCGTAGATTCCTTCTGGTGACTTCCTCTACACGCAACAAGACAAGTCTGTATGAGTGTCTCCGTTTCATAACCCCATTTCCAAGAAACCCTTTCAACAAAAAAAACCTTTAGAAAACACATGCAAGGCGGCCTTTTTAAATTTTCTGAAAAGTTTTTCCCGTTTGAAGTCACAACTCAGAGGACGGGAGTTGAATGAAAACGCGTGGAGCGATTGTAGGATAAACATTTGGAGGTGCCGAGGGACAAAAGCTACTTAGAGAGATGCAGTGTGGCTCAGAGGAAAGTCAGGCTGGTGAAGAAGGGAAAACAGAAATGAAGACAGACAGGTGAGGAGAAGAGAGCAGATGAAGCGCGACGGGACGACATCATCAAACACTCGGAGAAGAAAAGCTACAACGTTGGACTTTAGTTACTGTACGAGCCTGAAGGCAGTCGAGGGTTTTTTTTTTTCTTTTCGTGTGTTTTGTAGAGTCTTTTTTAACTGTGGGTGCACCCGGCTAGTACTGAGACGATGACACAATCAGGATACAAAGCTGCTGGGTTTTTGTTGTTTTGGTCACATCAACAGACAACACTGCATATGAATGAGTGAGCATCCTGTATGGAGCCGTATTTAGGCCGATAACATCAATCTTTAGCTTTTTTATGACGTGTATTTTAGCCATACTTTGTGACACCTTAAGACTCTAGAAAGTCTGTGTGCTCACTTTGAGAAACCATAATGTGACGTAGACTAAGTTGTTTCCGACATCTGCAGACAAAAACACCAGATATCCAAACAACCAAGGGCTCACATAACATAACTCCACATGTCCCACATCCTTTTATCAACAGTGTTTTTAGGTTTCAGGCTGCATGTTGTTTTTTTTCCTTCTATAAAGTTTGGCGCAAACAGAGAAGCTAATGGAGAGAGAGAGAGAAAAAAAAGATGTGCAAGACTGTCAGAATTGCTGAGGGGTGAAGCACTGCTGCAAATTAGTGGAGATGCTACTGCAAGAGAAGGAGAGATGGGGAGGAGAAGGAGGTGAAGTACGTGACTGTGGAGTGGGGAGAGAGAAAATGTTGTTGACTCCAGAGTGAGTCAACAGCACGCAGCTTCTGGAGAAGTTAAACACACACCAGAGGAGCATTTAGTGATGTGTCCGGCTTGAATTAAGGCCCCACTCACCCCACCCGAAGCGTCCCCTCTCCTTCTCCGTCCCCTGGGTCTTCTTGATGCGCTGATTGGCGTTGGCCTCTCGCTCGGCCAGCTTGGACTGGAACGACCTGTTGACCTTCGCCGAGGGGGGAGGTGATGGAGTCGTCTCCGTGGTGACGACGTGGCCCAGCTCCTCGGACACGTTGAAGACTCCCGCCGAGGCCTCGGTGGCCACCTCCACCTCCTCCCCTTCCCCCTTCTCCTCCACCGGCAGCGAGAGGGAGTCCGGGCGGGAGGGGAAGACCGAGTTCTCCAGCGCCATGGCCTGTATTTATATATATAATTATATATCTGTGTGTGTGTGTGTGTGTGTGTGAGAAGCGTATTAGTGTGTTATTGATATCCTCCCTAAGGCAGACTCTGTCCAGTGGCTATTGATTGGACCATTTGTTTGCTTGACTGAAGCCTGGAATAAAGAAGAGCACAAAGATGAGATGAAATCATAGAATCGATCAGCTGCTTTGCTCTAACAGTAATTCACCTGCAAATTATTTTTCTAAAAAAAAAAAAACAACAAACTCCACCACCTACTTGCTGGACACTCTTATGTGGCTTTAATTTCTTCTATTTCTCCAGATTTTTTCTTGTAGTTACAACAAGGTCAGTGCACTTTCCCCCCTCTGTCTGTTTCATAATGTGGCAACTTTTAAAAATGAAATTAAAGAGGAGGCATTCTAGTGTATGAGCCTCATCTTATGTAGTTTATAAAGTCTTAGTCAGACACAAAGGGGGAGGATAAATCTCTTTTTCTTTGAAACACAGCCTAATCCTGGAGTGCAGCGTTGCATATGCACATTTGGACCAATTTAACTGTTCTGCATGTTTCATAAAACGCCTTGGGGAAGGTGTGTGTGGGCCAGGCACATGCATGTGTGCGTGTGCGTGTTGTGTAAGTGCACTTGCTGCTATTTTAAATGTGGATTTACACACTACAGGGCTGCTGAGATTTTCTTACATAAATCCCCACATAAGAGTGAAACATGTAGCTGGACAGTGGGGCATGTCTTCTGGTGTGTTTGCACAGTAAAATGGAGTCCTGTGTAAGATGATGTGCGTCCATTTGGACAACTGGCGGATGGACGCAGGAGGAGACTGATGGTGACAGTCAAGATGACGCACTACGCCTGATGGATGGATCAGAAATAGCCTCTATTAAAGGGTGTCTCTGAGGCAGCCAGTGGGCTCCAGAAACCAAAGCTAAGCCTGTGGATCAATGTCACACACCTAAGAATGAATAAAATCCTACCTGCTCAGCGTAGCAACTTGTAGATGGATAAGACCAGATGTTCAATCATAAGAGAAATCTGCCCGGGATTGGCAGACACGGTTCGATGACACCCATTTCTGGTGTTTACCCTCGACGCAGCATCAGTCCACTCCTGCTCGCCTTTTTTCTTCTTCTTCTTCTTCTAGGAAAAACAAAGAGCACCTCGATCCGACCACTCAGCGCTCAGTAAATAAAAAAGCGCATCCGCTGAATCATCCGGCCACACAAATATAAAACAAAAAATAAAAATTCGCTGATCACGCCGAGGCTCCTCCGGCGGAACATGTGTCGGCCAGTGGACGTGGCGAAATGGTGGCAACAGGAGAACCCGGCAGCGCGGAGGAGAGCTCCATCATCTGTGCGTCGGACGGTCAGGTGTGGAGCCTGTGAGCGGCAGAGGATGCTGTCATCAGCCCAGCCCCTGTCGACCCTTCCCCGCCTCAGACGCTCCTCATCTCCACAACAGAGGGGACGCTCGGCTCCCTCCTCTCTGGCAGACCCTCAGCAGCTGCACGGTTCAGGGATGAGGAAATAATGCACAGGCCCTTTGTGATGCACTTACAATATAATAACGCCAATCTCGTTATGGAACACCCCGACACTGTAACACGATTTATTTCGATTTATTAAAAATATGTTGTCTTATTTTAATGCACATCTGTTTATTTTTAGCTTCGCTGCCAGGAAATTATTTGTAAAGCCCCTTCAAAACATGATGAAGAAATAATTTATGGCGCCTTCATTCATTCATTTTAAACTTCTGTTAATAGATTGGCAGATACAGTGTTTCGTGTTATCAATGAGATCAATGAGTTGATTATAATTAGCTTTATTTTGTAATAACCGCTATCCGGCCCCAGGCCTCCAGGTGGCGCTACATGTGTTGACCGAGGCCGGTGATCCGTCCTCCTTTTCCAAGATGTCGGTGTTCGGGCCAGTGGTGAAAATTCACCCCGTCGTTCTCGCTTCTATCTGCGACTCGTACGAGCGGAGAAATGAAGGAGCGAGTCGTGTGATCGGGACCCTTTTGGGTGAGCTAAAGCTTAAAGTGTCGCACCTCCGTCCGGTGGACAGGCTTTTATCGAAACCGGTGATGGATAGCGGGCTAATGTTAGCTTCGCGGCTAACGCATGCTGCGGTGGCTCAGTGCAGTTAGCTTACCTGTATGTGGCTAGCATTAGCTACCGTTAGCTAGCCAAACAGGTAGCCGCATCCCCTGTAACAGCTGGCTGTCCGTCCAAATGTACATAAATAAGTTATGTCTTGGCTATTTGTTAAGTCACTTTGCTTTTTTTAAACGTTATGACTTGTTGTAATTTAAATTTCACGGTACTGACGTTGATGTTAGCAGTTCGTCATGATTGTAGCCTCTGGTTTACCCTCCTGTTAGTTAGCCGCCTTTGCATTGTTAGCTAACAGCTAATACTTCATTTGTATCATTTGTTCCTCTCAGGTACCATTGACAAACACTCTATTGAGGTGACCAACTGCTTCTCAGTCCCTCACAATGAGTCTGAAGATGAGGTATGTTGTCACACTCATTAACTTCCAGCATTTTGACCTGTTTGTTGGGTAAAGATGGGACTGAAATACTCGATTGAGCTTTTGGAGATAGAATATTGTATAAATCCCAATGAAAGTTGTAAAAATTGCAGCAGCCAGATCACATTAGTCACCAAACAAACTACGTGAAATAAAATGTTAAAACTTAAATATCTAAAGTCTTCAACTCTGAATCTAGTCACTCAAATCAAACATAACAGCAGTTCCATGTCATTAGGGTTGAAACTAACTGTTGTTGTCATTGTCAGTTATTTCCTCAATGAGTCAATTTGTTGTTTTCTCTGTAAACTGTAAGAAAACCCAAATGTCTTCTTTTTTGTTTTGTTCAAAACCGAAAGATAGTCACTTCACTCTCACAGGCCAGAAAATATTCAAATTTAAGAAGCTGGAATCAGAGAATTTTGAGTTTTTCTTTCTTAAATATTTACTCAGCTTGTTGTATAAATGATCAAATTAGTTGCCAATTAATTCAGCACTTGACAAATAACTGACTCATTGATTAGGTGTTGCATCTCTACATGTAATATTCAGCACTCTGAAACTGTACTTGATGCACTGTTTTGACATCTTGTGTTGGTGCAGCAAGGCTCTTCATCTTAGTTTGAATTGAATTACACAGATGACTAAAATTACAGAGAAAATCAATGTTCTGCATAGAATCTGAGGGAATGAACTTAAGAATGAATCGATTAGACTTCAGACTTCTTTTAAGCAACTGCAACTGTTTTAATAATCAGTTTGACTCTTCTTATTTCTTTGAATATGTTCTGTTTTTTTATTCCTCGATGATAGTAAGCTGAATATTTTTGAGTTGTGGACAAAACTAAATATTTGAGGATGTCATCTTGGGCTTTTAGAGACACTGATTGACATCTTTCAGCATTTTTTGACATTTTACAGAAAAAAAAAATATGATGGTTCATTGAGAGTATAATGTAGAGATTAATCGATGGTGCAAGAAAATAAACTGAGAAACAGCTGGATGACTACCTTTGTACACTATAAAAGAGAGGGTGTTTTGTGAACATGTATCCTCTTCTACAACAGGTCGCTGTGGACATGGAGTTTGCCAAGAATATGTATGAGCTTCACAAGAGGGTGTCTCCCACTGAGGTCATCATCGGATGGTGCGTCAGTTTGTCATATTTGTCGTTTAAAGACTACATTGAGGAGAGTAAACATTAATCTTGAGTACATCTTTCTTGACAGGTATGCCACAGGCTTTGACATCACAGAACACTCAGTGCTCATCCACGAGTACTACAGCCGCGAGGCCTCCAACCCCATCCACCTGACCGTGGACTCGGCACTGCAGAGCGGCAAAATGAACATCCGCGCCTACGTCAGGTTGGCCGGCCTTTCTGTCACTGACTCTTTGTTTGTGTGATCAACTGCAGACGGAAAGGGCCTTTTCTGAATGTGTTTGTGTGTCTCGTCCACAGTGCGCAGATGGGTGTGCCAGGAAAGACAGTTGGTGTGATGTTCACCCCACTGACTGTCAAGTACGTCTACTATGACACAGAGAGGATAGGCGGTAAGAATACAAACAATAAACGAAGACAACTGTTTGGAAACAAAGGCTCTGTGACTAAAATCTGTGAAGCTCAAATTTGTCAGGGTGAAGAAATATTTCAATCCCAGTGTCACAAAAAACTTAGTTGTGTGCATGTCAAGGGACAGTAAACTGTAGAGAGTAAAATGTATCCTGTACTGAAACACTCCATCCTTGGGTTTCAGTGGATCTCCTCCAGAGGACACGTGTGACTCCCAGTCGTACCAAGGGGTTGACCTCTGACCTGTCCCAGGTGGCTGGTTCTGCAGCCAGGGTTCAGGACATGCTGACCACCGTGCTGGCTTACATCGAGGATGTGCTGGTGAGTATCAAAAGTGGGACAAACTATTGTCATTTACACTTAATAGGCATAGGTTGATTATCAGGTTGGCCGGATTGGAAGGTCCAATATTCTGCATTTTTACAATTATTAGGAGAGATATTTTTGTGAAGCGACTATCGATAAAATACACTGAATGAGCTCCTGTGGCTCTGATGCAGCTGACTTTCTCTGTTGTCACTCTGTGTTCTCAACAATGTCCTTCCTAAACCCTGTCAATCAACAATAAAAGCTGCTACTTACAGACAGGAACTGACAATCAGATTTTCAGTGCGACGCTGTGATCTGAAGGTGATGTAGAAAGCACTGCTGAAGTTATAATAAACACCACAGGCTTTCACAAGCATGCCTAATTTCCTCATTGAACTGAAAATACCCCAAAATTGAACTTCTTGGTGTCAGCGCCACTGGAACTTACTTTGCTGACAGTGTCAGGATGAGAGGTTCGCTGTACCTCTGAGCTTGCAGTTAGCGCTGCATGTCGCCTAAACATATTTGTAAAGTAAGATTGATTTTAACATCCTACTGTAACTTCGAGACATGCATCTCTAGCAGAAACACAACCTGCAAAAACGGAACAAGAAGCACAACCATCGCCACAAATCAGGAAATTATATACTTATACAGTGGCTAAGGCTATGCTAACGGCTAGCTGCCAAGCAACAGATTACGCTGAAACACTTTCTGGAAAGCAGTAACAAATTATACGAAGATGTGGGCCGGAGTAGGCCATAGAAGTTAAAGAACAGTTAAGAAAACAGAAAAGAACAACTGACATAAGTGCAAGAAAAAGAAACTGTTCCATCGATCTAACAGTAAACAGAAGAGAGCGTCCTAACATCATCACTCCTGTTTCTATTTTACATAATCAGTTCTAGTAATCATTATAAATGAAGTAACCCAGCTATGACAGACTGTCCTCTATTACTTGCTGTTAATATATCATATTTCATGTATATCGGTTCCAAGTATCTGTTGTCTGTCTTTCTTAAGTACCAACACTCTGCATTGGCCCTGGGGAAAGAAGAAAAAAACATATAGGTCGATCCCTAATACTTAACAATAAATTAATGTCCCTCACTATTTAACTCTCTGTCCATCAGCGGTCTCTCTAGAGAACATCTGAGAAGTAATTAGGTTTAACATTGACAGACGCCATAAAGCTAATGCTGTTCGATCTGTCTCAGTCTGGCAAAGTGACAGCAGATAACAGCGTGGGCCGCTTCCTGATGGATCTGGTCAACAAGGTGCCCACCATCTCAGCCGAGGACTTTGAGAACATGCTCAACTCCAACATCAATGTAAGTGTGCGCGTGTGTCATATACAAGAGGCTTTGCTTGTTGTCGGTCCACTCACATTGATCAGAGGAAGCGTTTAACTAGACGTCTCTTCCTGTTGTTCGTGCTCTCTCGTCTCATACTGCGTTACATAGAGCTCGTCCATAATATGAGTAGTTGACACACCTTGAGTCAGGACTCTGACTTTAAAAACTGTTGTATTCAGATGTTGACGGTCTGTTGTGTTGTTGCAGGACCTGTTGATGGTGACCTACCTGTCCAACCTCACCCAAGCACAGATCGCCCTGAACGAGAAGCTGGTGCTGCTCTGAGGAGGATTTCTTTCAAGTGATTCGTATTTAATTTTTGTACACTTTTTTTTTTTTTTTTTTTTGGCTGAGATGAATAAAGATGTTAAACAGTCACATGGCATTGATTCCCTTTCAGGTTCCGGAAACCGTCCTCAGTAATAGTGTAACTACGAATAATGAAATTTGGTTTCTCACAAACGGATAAAGAATGTTATGAGTAGGATTATTCTGCTAATGTTAGGTCTGTTTTTAAAAAAATTTATGTTCCAGAGATAGTTTGTAGGCAACCTGCAGTGGCTGCTGTTAACTCTTTGTGGCGCAGATCGACATGAATGATGAATTCATAATTAATGTTCTTTGTATAAATGCGGGGAAAAAAAGATTCTCTCAGCTGATCAAGTGTTTGGTGATTTTAAAATGTCTTATCGATAATTCATAACACAGATATTCTTAGAAATTTAGTCATTTTTGTTATGGTGCTTAATTTTAAGGGAGCATATTTTCTTGTTCTGAATCAAATAACCAGTGAGCTTCTCAGCTGATCAAATTTTAAAAGGCCAGAAAATATCCAAACACAGATATTTTGAGAAATTCAGTCATATTTTTTAATCTGTGGTGCCGCCTGCCGTGATACTCAGAATAATAGCTAATTTTACGTGAACAGTTTTTCTTTGAATGAATGAAATAAGCAAATTTCTCACCTGTTAAAGTGTTTAAAAGCCTGAAAACGAGAGAGAAATGCAGTCATTTCTCAGAATATCCAGATCCATTAAGATTTTTCTTTCTTTTGCTAACTGTTTCCTCTGTTAATCTTAATTAACATGGGAGGTATTTGACAATGCTCAGCATACAGAATGAAGGTGGTAAAACCTGATTTTAATTGTAAGACACGTTGATTTATCTCTACATAAATATACATTCAAATCAGAAGCAGAAGTTACAATCATTCTAGTCACACTTCCTCCGTGACAGGCCATGCCCGGCCTGAGTGAACATGTGAAGCATAGTGCAAAGAGTGGGCATGAAAAAGTCACACAGCCTGCAGTCCAGGTAGCGCGTGTCGGTCTACAGTGTCAGAATTAAAGCTGCTGTTGGATTTCTTATTGCTGAGGTGCTGCGGAGCCGCGCTGCCTCCATCACGGTTTGCTCTCGGGCTCCTTCTCGGCTTTGCTTTGCGGGTTCAGCATCTTCTCCACGGCGGCGTAGCTCTGCACCGCGCGGTCGTAGACCGAGTCCCCGGTGGACTTGGCGACGGCCGCCGCCTGCTCCGGGTAGTAGAGGGAGGCGCTCACGGTCATCAGGCCCGCCGGGTACAGGAGCTTCTTAATCCTGGAGCCTCTGGCCAGGAACAGTCCCAGGACCCCGGTGAAGCCGATCACTCCCGCCCGCGGGTAGAAGTCCTTCGGGGGGTCCTTCAAGTAGCCGTAGGTGTCGCTCCCGAACCGGACCACGCTCTGGACTTTGGGTTTGATTTTGCCGTAGGTGTTCTGACACCAGGCGGCGTACGGCTCCACCAACTTCCTGACGGTGGCGACACTCTCCTCCAGCTGACCCGCTTCGGGCTCCGCATACCGGGACATCTGTGCAGGAGCCGTGTACAGAGACAGCTCGTCCCGGTTCAGCGGGGCCGGGACCGGAGCTGGGACCGGGACCTCTTTGTCCGCGTCACCGGTGTCAGCGAAGACGGCGATCGGCAAGAAGCTCAAGGCTCCCGGCATGGCACTATCTGTCACCTTCAACATGATCCCGGCGGGCCATGCAGGGGCTACGGTGTCCGCGGAGGGACACGAGGGGCGGCGCCGCCTCTCTGATGTTTGACCGACGATTTTATTTGTGCTTTGAGACCCGATAACAAGACAAGAATTTTAAAAGAGTTCTGAGTAAGAGGAGTTTACAAAGATGTTGATTATCTAGAAATGCACGTGAAGATACTATTTTATAGATATTATTTTATTTTATGGAAAGTCATTTAATGAATGAATGAATGAATGAATGAATGAATGAATGAAGAAACAAATGAAATAAATATTCCAAAAAATAAAATAAATATTGTATCAAGAAATTAAAATCACCTGAAATAAATGAAAACAGTACCTTTTTTAAAAAATAGAAAGTTATTTTTGTATTACATTTCTTTACTTTATTTCCCAGACATTTTTTTTTATTAAACATAAACTGAAAAGTAATTTATTATCTTAATGATATGTACATTTTTATATAGACACTGCTTACCACTATGTATGGCTAGGCTTTATAAATAATGCCACTAAACTTAATTTGGATTTATTTATAAGTTTTCTCTGCGACCTTAATTTGAGAGTAATTGTTTAATTTTCTGATTTAAATGCAAAATAGGAGCCATAAATATGCAATGTGCAGCCCATAGCTGTTTAAATAAGCTTTATCTTCTTTTATTTTGTTAAATTCTTAAAACTAATAATGCATTTGGAACAACTATATATAAATATGACACTAAAAGCTGTAAAGTATACACACACCTTCTGAATCTTGCATGTTTAGGTATTTTTTCTACTATAATCACCATTCTCACTCTCAGAAAAGACGTTTATTAAACCCACAAAGCAATGAGCACTTTGTCTTTTACAAACACAAATGTTTATTTTTCTTTAACCAGAATACTTTTGCTGAAATTTGGAAGAGATTTTTAAAATGCAATATTTCGCTTAATTTGTTTTCCTGTTTTTACTGTAGACTTAATCTCTTACAAGTTTTCATTTTTATTTGTTATATATATTTTTTTTTTCTGCATTTCTATTGCATGTTTTATTGTATTTGCCACTAAGAGGAGCAAAGCGCTATATAAAATGTTTGCTTGCTTTTAGTGTGGTTGTTATTTGTATTATGATAATACGCCGCTGCTTGGTTGCTAGATTGTGATTTTAGTGACTATTTTTAGGCGAAACAGCTTTTTTTCATGACGTCATGAGCTTCCAGTGGCTTTAAAACTCTCATTCATTGTTCATCAGCGCGACGTCACTGGTTGCCATGGCAGCCTGAAAGCCTGCTCGTCTCCTGGGAAACGGCCAAGCGTCCCAGTTAGCAGTAGCTGCTAACTTCGAGGCTAACGTCCAGCAGTAAAGTTGAAACAGACTGTAGTTCTCATTTGTAGCTGGACGTGGTTGTCGTTGTTGCGTTTGCAGGGCGTTTTTAATTTAAAAAATAAAAAATAAAAATAGCGTAATTTGGCGGTTTTCTGAATGGAGTATTGTGGAGTATCATCCGTCCAGAACTTAGAGGCTCTGTCTGCCCTGTTGTCCACTCAGCAGGAGGAAGAGGAGGATGAAGACTGTCGAGTAAGATCTGCACACGTGATAATATAATAATAGAAGAAGAAAAAAAGAGCAAAAAGCAAGAAACAAAAGTATTTATTGCTGGGCACAGTTTCAAAGAGTTTGCATGTTGACATATATTTATTAAAACTAAGATTTCCATAGGATCTGCTTGTTTTTTTTCTTCACATGACAGTATTTCAACTAAGTGCTGAAACTGGGTTTTTGTTTAACCTAACAGTTTATTTCAACAGAATGCAGCAGCTTGTGCACACCTGGGTCCTGGACACATCGGCCCCCCATCCAAGAAAGAGAATGAAGGTAATCCTTGGATTCCTCCCGTATAACTCCCCCTGCCAAAAAACATATATTACAAATGTACAAACTGATTGTGTGTGTGTGTGCATGTGTGTGTTGCGGTTTATTTAGTATCAAGTGCCTACATGAAGAAGAACAGTAAAGATATCTGGAGTGAGGACGAGGTCTCTGAGGGCTCCCAGTATGATGATGTGATTGATTCACGGCCACAACCTGAGTAAGAAACACAAACATGCCGACGAGGTCAAAACTGGAAAAAGCTGGAATTTATTCATTTATTTATTTTGAATGCACCTTCTGCTGAGGATAAAAGAAGCTCTCATCCTTTGTCACTTCTTGCATTTCTTTGAGCTAAAATCATAAATTCCCACTGTCCCATGTAGATGTTTTAATCACTGTTTTCATCGTAAGAAGTTTAATTATTACAAATACTTGCTGTTATCTTTTTACCATATAATAACTGGCACAATATATACTTGTACTTTTTGTTTCTTATAGATTTCATCTGATATGATTTTAAGTGATTTTAATGAGGTCAGTTCTGTGTTGCTGCAGTGGTTAAAAGGAACTAAGTACATTTACTTAAATAATGTATTTAAATACACTTTTGAGGTATTTGTGCCTGAGTACTTCCATTTTATGTTTAGTTATTCCTAAAGGAAATATTATAATTTCTCCTTTACTATATTTATCTGACAGCTTTAGTTACTTTTGAAGATAAAGATTTTACACCATGTGTGACAAGACGTTTTTGAAATAAAACACACTGATTAAGGTTAAACCATGTGGTTTCCAAAATGTTTTGCTTATGACATCTTATAAAAAGCAAAGCTCACATCTCAGATGTCTGAGTTTTAAACAGCTCCAACAAATAGTTATTTTTCACTTTAATTTTTTGCATGGATTCAATATTTCACCAAAAGATTAGAAAACAACTGAGGGACTGATTTGTGGATCAGAGCTTTGTTTTTTTCCTTCTTCATTTTAATAATCATTGGCAACATTTCTGTGGTACCTGCTGTCTTTGTGTATAAAACTGTATTTAAAGTGTTTCAGACCAGCTCCACCTGCAGCAGCTGTAGCAGTAAACTGCTGCGGACACACTGATGCTTCACTGTTATTAACACAATAATGTCAGATGTAATTATATAAATCAGAGGGACACACTAAAGCTTGTGCACTTTGACATTTTCATGCATCTATTAGAGTATTTCTACATTGCTGTGCTGGTACTTTTACTTAAGCAAAGGCTCTGGTTATGATTTCCCACCACTGGCTGATTCTGTGTAATGTGTGTGTGTTATTTATAACCTCTGTGTGCAGGTATGAAATAATCCTGAAGCAGAGTGTGGGGACAGAGGATCTGTTTTTGGGATTAAGTAGAAAGGACCCGTCCTCCATGTGCTGCGAAGCCATGCTGGTAAATCATCGAGCATCACGGGATTTTTACACTTAATTTAATGCATTTTTTTTTTACACTGTAAAATGTAAATGCACAAGGATGCAATCAAAGAGAGAAAGAGACAGAAAATCAGACTTGATTCTCCCATTGTGAAGTGTTGGCTGGTTCCAGAGAGTCCATTTTAAGAACTAGATCATTTTAGACCTTTTAGAGCACAGGTGAGGCAGATTAGGTGTAAAGAATCAAATCTTACTTAATTACAGGAAGGAAATTTCAGTACTTTCACAGTCTTAGAAAGCTTTTTTCAAATCCTGCATTGGAAGTGAAGCAGTGAGGAAGTGACATAAAACAATAAAAGTCGGAAATTTGTTTCCTTTTTAAATAAGAAGATCAAAATGTGCACATCGTACAATATGAAAGATTCTGACTTCTTCCCACTCTTAGGTGAAAATCAAACTACCCGACACTAAAGCGACAGAGGTGGTCCTGGATGTGAAAGAGAAGTTCCTTGATCTACGGACGCCAAAATAGTAAGAGATGCTTTGAAAACGCTTCCTTTCATTTTTAATCCCCTCATGACTGAGCGGCAGCAGTTCAGACCAAAAGCTTCCCCTTTCCAGACATTTCCCTTTAATCAGAGGTTCACACCAAGATCTGAGGTCTGACTGCTGTTTCACACGACTCTTAACATCTTCCCCTGTCATCCGCCACACACACTCTGTCTCCCCCAGTGTCCTCTATGTTTCTTTAACCCGTCTGCTCCTTTCCTCAGCAAACTGGGTCTCCATCTCCCTCATCCGGTCCACAGCCAGGAGGGCAAAGCTCAGTTCTTCAGCGAGAGGGAGGAGCTGGAGGTGACTCTGCTAATGAAGCGTCCCCTGGACTTTATCAACATGCAGTGAGGAAAGGATGAAAACAAGCCACAAGTGTCCAGAAGAGACAGAAAAGATAAATCACACTGCCTTACCTGTGGGGGAAAAAAACAGAACAGGACAGAGAGATGATCAGCAGGAAACCTTCATATTTCTGTGAACACTACAGGAGTCTTTGGTACATGTGTGATCATTCCTTCCATTAAAACTTTGATTTCTAATAAATGTTTGACTTCTCTTCTTCTTCGACTTTCTTATGATTGAATAACCAGCAATCGACTTTGATGGACAGCAAACACGTGCTCGGGTTAATCCACGAGGCAGCCACGACTCCAGATTGTCATTTGATCCCACACAAATGAACTCAGGAATGTGAAGC